TCATCATCATCATCATCATCATCATCATCATCATCATCATCATCATCATCATCTTCATCATCATCATCATCAATGCCTTTCGCCCCTGGCAGGGTATAGGCCACATACAAGCTCCTTCCATTTATCTCTGTCCTGGGCCATCCTTTCGCCCCTGGCAGGGTATAGGCCACATACAAGCTCCTTCCATTTATCTCTGTCCTGGGTCATCCTTCCAAGCTCGTTCCAAGTTAGCTTCATCTCTCTCATGTCCCTTTCCACACATCTCCTCCTTGTTTCCCGTGCCCTCCCCCTGCCTCGTGCTCCCCGTGGGTTCCATTGCAGTGACTGTCTTGTGATGTTTTCACTGGGCTTTCTGAAGGTGTGTCCCATCCATCGCCACTTTCTTAGTCCTATTTCTACTTCTATATCCTTTTGTCCTGTCCTGTCCTTTCCCACTACTCTTCATTGTTTATTTTATCCTGCAACTTAATTCTTGGGTGTCTGGACTTACTTCTTTTTTTTTAATCCCTTGCCCAATAATATGAGATTAACGCCATCTGATTAGTAAAAAAAAGTGCGTATGATAGTGTCCAATAGAGTATTACGTGCATACTTAGTATAACAAGTAACTGTTACAGATAGAGATTCAAAGACTATAGATGTAAGTCAGTGATCTGAGAGCAATGAGGATTTTAGAAATAATGGTGGTGATGAGTGAAGATGTGAGATTGCGTTTAAGTAATGTTAGCGTTAGTCCTATCTTCCTCTGCTCCAATGAGTCACGAGGGCCGTGGGCATCCTCTATCCCGTTCCCTACTGGAACCATCTTTAATGTAACCTCGAAGTTTCGATGAACTTGATTCCTGTTTTGACCAGATCTTACGATATAGCAGCTTCCAAAAGAAACTTGAAAATGCAATCACCAAATTTTCGTGTTAAAGCCTTGAACTACCCACTCATTCAGCCTATCAATGTGAAGATTAATAAATTCTGCATAATCTTGACGAACTAATAGTTCATCTATGTTAAGAGACGCCCAAGATATGGTCATTCAATTTTAACCTTTAAAAAATCAGACTTGGCAAAATTGTGCGAAATTAAAGAAACGTAAAAGTGTGTTCGTGTGTGTATTGACG